AGTTCTCATAAACTATAACTGAAAGATCAGTGGACTTAGAGTCAAGAGACCTACATTCTAGTCCTATAATGGAGAGTGATGAATTTGGAGTCATAGGACCTAGGTTTAAATATTGGCCCAGCTAGGTGGATAGTGGATAGAACAATGGACTTGGAGGCAGGAATATCTTCATTCAAATTCTACATTAGAACCTTGCTACATGAGTGATCCTGGATGTGAACCCTTATGTGCCTCTGTTTCCTCATCTGTAAGATGAAGGGGTTAAATTTGCTGACTTCTAAGGTCCCTTTCAGCTCTATATCCATGATCATATTATTTTATGACCAGTGTGATCTTGGAAAAGTCAAGTATTTTGATCTCCTGATTTCCTTAGCTGTAAAATGAAGAGCTGGATTATGTGATATTTAAGATCCCTGTCACCTGTAGATTTATTAGTCTCTGACTGAATGTCCTCTAAGTTACCTTATATCTCTGTGATTCTCTGAACCTTTGATCTTCAGAACAAGAAAACAAAAATGACAAAACAGAACATACATAGGCAAATAATAAAGGTATAAAGACTGGTTTGTTGTTCATTCATTTTTCAGTCATGTCTGACTTTGTGACCCTATTTGGGGTTTTCTTAGCAAAGATATTGGAGTGGTTTACCATTTTCTTCTCCATCTCATTTTGCAAATGAGCAAATTGAGGCAAACAAGGTTAAATGACTTGCCCATGGCCACACAGCTAGTAAGTGTTGGAGGGCAGATTTGAACTCAGGAGGTCTTCCTGATTCCAGGCCTGACACTCTATTCACTATGCCATAGACTAACCATGCTGCCCTCACCATCTAGTTACCCTGTAAAGACTGGAGGCAGGCCAAATCAGAGGTATTTGGACTTCTTTAGGATACATCCTTTTGCTCTGCTTTTCCTTATTTCTTCCTCATGAAGAAAAATAAGTACACACACAATACAAATTTCAAACTTTCAAATGGGCATTTCCTGTATGCAAGAAGTGACTCACATGGTTGACTTTCTTAAACACACAATGCCTCCATCTGGCACATATTGTCTAAGAAACCATCATCCAGATGTTTAGAGGAGGGATAAATCTACAGATGGTTTGCAGTAAGACAAACACAAAGAGTAGCCCCCTGCTACCACTAGATTTAAACATCTTAACTCTTTAATGTTGTCCTCTTGGACATGTGAGAGAGGCAACTGTAGCATAATATTAAAATTAATGGCAAACATTTATTGAAAAGCACTTTACATATATCTCATCTGATTCTCACAACAACCCTGGGAGATAGGTGCTATTATTATCCTCACTTTACCAAAAAGGAAACTGAGGCAGACAGAAGTTAAGTAACTTACACAGGATCATACAGCTAGTGTTTGAGGTGGGATTCAAACTGAGGTCTTTCTGACTCCATATCTATTGCTTTCTCCACTTAACTGTTGAGCTAGTCAATAATCTGAGAAGGCTTCCAATTTGATCATTTTAGAAGTGAACTTTATGGTACTGGTACCCTGAAGTTGAGTCCATGATCATCAGTGAGAACATTGAAGGCAAAACCAGATATACTGGGGGATATCTGCCTGGGAAAGAGTTACATATATGTTGTTTCTCCCAATGGGACATGAGCTACATGTGATGGCCTGTTTTTTTTTTGTCTTTGTATCTCTAGCACCTAGTACAATACCTGGCACACAGTTGCATGAGGATCTGAATGGCTTGACAAGATGGCAGGCAGCAAAGGAGAATAGTAACTATATCTTCTCTTGTGTCTTGCCAGGAAATCTGCAGGTTATTCAGGGATTACATTTTTTTTTTCAGTTTTTAAGGAATGGTTCTATGTGGGCATTTGTTTCTAAGCTACTTGAAAGGTAACTATTTTAAACTATGTCACAGAGCTACATATGTGTGGTTGACCTCAACTAGACCACTTACATGCATGTTGGTAAATGATTCAACATAAAATGAAGAGTCATCATGACTCAGGAAGCTGACTCCACTCACTTCTGAATGAATGGTCACTTAAAGCAGCCAGGCTTTGCTCTATTTGGGATATTTTCCTTTCCCTTTTGGCATCTTTTCTTGTCCTTAAGTTCATGAGTCTAAGATTTGACTTTTTACCTCAAGAGTTTTGCCCCAGTCTCTGAAAAGATGAGGCTCTTTTCATCAAGGCAAACTTGTGCTCTTGATCTCAGAATAGATTGTGGATTTAGAGCTGAGTAGGACCTTAGAGGTCATAGGATGATAAATCTTGAGATGGAAGGAACCTTGGAGATCATCTAATCCAACTCTTTCATTTATGGATGAGGAAACTGAAGCACAGAGAGGTTGCATCACCTACCCCAGGTCCATAATGAGTAGGAAAGCTGAGATTTAAATCTAGTCCCTTGATGCCAATCTCACATACTTTCTATTGCATCATGATGCCTCTTTTCTATGTCTTCTCATCTCCTCAAGGAGATTTTCACTTTTATACTGTCCCACTCTATTTTCATTTTTTCCTTATGCTTCAGATCCTTCTTTATTGCCAACAAATGTGCTTGGGTATCTCCCGTCCTTTAAAAACTTAAAACACACACACACACACACACACACACACACACACACACACGCACGCACACACACACACACACACACACACACACACACAAACAAACAAACAAAACTCCTTTACTCACCTTTGGGCATCCCCTCAAGCTATCAGTATTTATTGTTGTTGTTGTTTGTTATGGTATATTCTCTCCTCACCAGTACACTCGTAGAATCTTCGGCTTCCATAACTTTCCAGCTCAGGTGCCGCTTCCTACATGAAACCTTTCTTGATTCCCCTACTCATTAGCGCTCTTTTCTATTCTCAATTATCTTGTATTTAGAGGCACCTCAAGTAAGGAAGATCTGAGTTTGAATCCAGTCTCAAACATTTCCTCAAATGCTTGATCTTAGGCAGGTCATTTAACCTCTGTCTGTTTCAATTTTCCCAATTTTAGAACGGGGCTACTAATAGCACCGATCTCTCAGGGTTATGGTGAGGGATTAAATGAGATATTTGTAAAACACTTAGCCCAGTGCCTGTCACATAGTAGGTGCAGTATAAAAGCCAGCCATTATTATTATCTTTACTATTATTAATGTTTATATCACCTATACCTCTCTCATTAGATTGCAAGCTTCTTAAGGAAAAGAATTGTATTTTCCTTTTTGTTTTTGTATTACCCTCGGTGCTGTCCTGAACAGAAAAAAGGAACTTCCTTATCTGTGAGTTCTTCTATCAAAGAAATCATAGGTAAACTTCCCATCCCTTTGTTTCTCCAATGTCTAATACAGTGAGGAGAACATAATAGGTACTTAAATTTTTTTAAATGCATGGATGATAGCCCCCACTAGGAAGCTGGTCAAATTCTTGTAATGTGAGGCACCGTTTCTGGGGATGACAGGATCCAGATGCTTTCTGCCTAGTTTAAAAAAGCACATGAAGTGTGTGCTAGCCTATGACCTTTGACTAAATGCCCAGTTGTTTCTGGAAGTTAGTCTGAGTTAAACTAAATTTCTTCAACCCAGCCATTTATTTCCTCATGCTGCCTGGAGTTGTTACAGACCTTTCTACCTGCTGGCAACCACAAATCCAATGTCATTAGATACAGAGTACAAATCATTCCTTAGTTGAGTCCTGAGACAATGAGCTAGAGCTTTTTAGAAGTTACCTGTTATTAATGGATACTCTGAAGTTGAAAATTATAGACTCATACTGTCTCCAAGATGGTTGAGCCCTTTTCTGATAGGGAAATCCTCTCCATAGCATCTAACTATACATATACCCTAAAAATGTTGGTAAAATTTTCTGGGGGCAAGATGAAGTTTAGATGGCTAAAGGTGCCTTGAAGACAGAGCTAGAATATAAATAAAATCCTCCTGATCTAGAGCCTGCATGCGATGGCTTAGATGTCTTTGCACTTCACATTTCCCTATAGAGGAGTCATCTAGAAAAAATCACTAGATGAATCTGAGGTCAAAGTGGGTAAAGAATCAATCAGCTAAAATATATTAAGTGCCATCTTCATGCTAGAGTCTGGAGAGGCAAAGACAAAAAGGAGGCAACACCCTCCCTTAAAGAACTTACATTCTGCTAGGGGAAGTAACAAGTTCATAAAAAAATTCATTTGTATGTATATGTATATATGCTGCATGTGTACATGCATATTTCTCTATATATGTACATAAACACATACATATACAGTGTGTTAACATATACAATATACATACTGAGATAGAGAGATAGGAATAGGTAGGTAGATAGATACATCAATAGCAATAGATAGATTGATCAATAGATCTCAATACATAGTGATTGACAGGGCAGGGTAATGAACATTAACAACCTGGGTAATCAAAAGTCTCTTCAAAGCATTGGCCTTTCAACTGTGTCTTGAAGGGAGCTAATGATTCCAAGAGACAGAACCCAGGGGAGAATTCCAGATACAGGGTGTATTTCTTGGACAAAGGTATAGAGATGGGTGATAGCATGTTATATGCAGGGAGTGACAAATAGGCCAGTTTGTCTAAAGCTTAGACTACGTTGGGGGAGTAAGAAGCAGTTAACCTAAAAAACATATGCAGTGTGCAGATTGTGAAGGTTTTAAATTCTGGGAACAGTGGAGTTTACATTTTAACCCAAAGGGAGCCATTGAAACTTCTTGAGCAGAGCAGTGACATGGTCAGACCTGCTCTTTGTGAATGTTAATTTTGAACTTCATTCCTTTTTGTTCATTCATAGGATGACATGGGTTCTAGTCTGTATGGACAATAGTAATTCTGGAAGCCCTGTTCCCCTACCTTCTGAAAGTTTTCTCTTCTAGTCTTTCAAAAAGATTTCAGAATTGTGGTTCATCACTGGAGCTATTCTGTCTGATACTAACATTAAGACTTCAGAGTTTATGCAGAAAAGTCTATATAGCTAGTCAGCCTCATAATTCAAAGTATCAACACACATTCCCATTACTTACCGCTCTTCTGGTTGCTTTCTGTGGTTGATGCAGCACTTGGAAATCGGTGATCAGAACCTTGTGGTTTTGCAGTGCTGGAAACATCAGTTGTACTTTCAGTTTGGGGGGTTTCTTTTTCTGTAAAGACAGTAAGCATCCTTTAATAATATTGCTAGAGGTTTTTTTATTAAGGTTAATATTAATAATCATCTTGGGTCAAAAGATGAAAATTTGAAAGTCTTCAATATGACATTTTGGTGGTAGCTAATCAATGACTAGTGCATTCGATTACTGGCAATTCTGGTTCATCTGCTCATTTTCACCAACTTGACCACAAGGGCATTTGAAAAATCAGACATCTTGGCAGCCAGATTGGTTCCAAAGCCTGTGCTGTGTTTCTGGATTACATTTATAGCTCTAGGGTCCTTAAAATTCTCTGAGCTCAACCCCACTCATGTGACAGATGAAGAAATGGAAACCTAGAAAAGTTATGTGACTTGCCCAAGGTCATGCAGGCAATAATGAGTAGCAAAGCTGGCATTTGAACTGAAGAGTTTGATTCCAAATCTGTTTCCCTTTCCAAGTTTCAAGATTTTGAACTTTAGAGAATGGTCTTCCTATTGGCAAAAGAAAGCCAGGAGGAGAGCTTGTTGCTTTTCAGGAATGGAAGAGAAGATGACCTCAAGTTTAGACATGTTGAGTTTGAGGTGGCTGAAGGGCTAAGTAGGACATCTTTTTCAGTGGTTGATGAGATAAGGAAAAACTAGTAAGGCTGAAGTGGGGAGGAGAACTGGAGGAGAACTTTGTGGAGTAATTGACAGTGCTGTCAAAGTCTATAGAGAGAGTAACTGAAGAAGACTAGGATGGAAGGTGTAGCAGGGTGCCTGGCACACAAGAAATGCTTAATCCACATAGTGAATGTTCTATCCATGCCTCATTTCTCTCCCAGCTCCATTCTTGATGCTCCAGTTTTTCAAATCCTCTTTCACTTCTAGTTCCCTTTTTTGTGTTGTTTTCCTCCATTAGAATGTAAGCTCCTTGAGGGCAGGGCTACTATTTTTTATTGTATTTGTATAAAGCTTCTGCTTACCTTCCTATCATCCATCCATCTATCCATTTATCATCTATATCTATCTATCTATCTATATATCTATCTATCTATCTATCTATCTATCTATCTATCCATTTACCTATCTAATCTATCTATCTAGATAGACAAAAGAGTCAAAATATGGTGCCTGCCTTCAAGGAGTTTGCAATCTAATAAGGAAAGCAAACAACTATATACAAAGAGAGCTATATACAGGATCAATAGGAAATAATAATTATCAGAGGGAAGAATATAGAATAAATGGGATTAAGAATTTATCTAGCTTATTTCAGTCTAATCTTATAATCTATCTACCTATGTATCTACCTATCTACCTATGTATCTACCTATCTACCTACCTATCTGCAGGATTTTTACTTTTCTATAAGAAGCAAAGCCAGGACAAAGCATGTGTTTGTCCTAGCCAAGGTTATTCCCTCCAAATGCTAGTTTTGTATTCACCCTGAATGTATCTTATATATACACTTATATATGTGCATGCTGTCTTCCCCAATAGACTGTATGCTCTTGGGGCTCAGGTACTCTTTATATAAGCAGTACCTGGCACACAGCAAGTGGTTAATAGAGGTCTTTTGATTGATTGAATGAAAACCAAGAAACTGGTAGGAATGTCTCAGTATGGTTTGAAGAAATGGGGCACAAAGTGCAGGCACTGAACATTATGTACATTTATAGGAGAGCTGTTCAGTCTTTCAAGGCTTATTTACTTATACCTTATGTATACTTGTGATAAACATCATTTTCTTAGCTCTGAACATTTAGAGAAAAAAAAAAGCAAATTAAGCTGAGTACATTGGCAAATGTTTGAAATCTTTTCTACCAGAGAGACATTGAGGTTGATTGATCTCTTGAGCTTGACAGCTCTGAACTGCTGTGGGCTAAGCCAATCAAGTTCACACTAAGTTCAGCCAAAGGAGGGATGAAACAGAGTCCAGAAGCAGAGCAAGTCAAAGCTCCTGTGCCTGATCAGAGGCAACTGGGCCTGTGAAGTCCCTGCACTTCCAATTTGGGTGAGATAGGAAGACTCAGTCTAAAAAGGAAGACAAATAGGAAGGGAGGGAGAAAGAAAGAAAGAAAGAAAGAGAGAGAGAGAGAGAGAGAGAGAGAGAGAGAGAGAGAGAGAGAGAGAGAGAGAGAGAGAGAGAGAGAAGGGAGGGAGGGAAGGAGGGAGGAAGAAAGAAAGAAAGGAAGGAAGGAAGGAAGGAAGGAAGGAAGGAAGGAAGGAAGGAAAAAAGGAATAGAATGAGAAAGGAAAAGGAAGTGAAATGAAGGAAGGTTGGAAGAAAAAGCAAAATGGAAGGATGGAAGGAAAGAAGGAAGGAAGGCAGAAAATATATGACATGCCAGAGGGAAGCACAATCTAACAATAAGGGAGGATACAAAAAAATAAGCAACCAGACCCATCTGGGGCATAGCCATATGGGGCCATTTTGTGTAAGGGAAAACAGAGTTGCACACCTAAATAGTCATTAACTTAGTTGCAATTAGTATAAATTGATGTAGATATAAAAAGTTAAATTCTATTTAAGAAGTCAGTGAAGTATTAGTATATTTTAGAGATGTTTCTACCCAAGCTTGCTGAAACAAAGCCAATCTGATATTTAAAGGGTTAAGTTTCAGCTATCTAGAAAGGTTACTTTTACAGAACAGCTAGCTCATTCTCTATTGATGCTGGACAAATGAGGTATGCCACCCACCTGTCTTTGGCACTGCTGAGCTAGATGAAGACTTTGTAGAAATCATAGGCGTCGATGATGGTTCTTTGAGTGTTCCTGTTTGATGAGATAAATGACATTATTATTATTAACCACAGTTCTCATCATACCTGTCAAAAGAATAATCAAATGTAGGTGGAGATTGGGAGTGGGTGGGAGTCATTCTGCAGATGTGTTCTCTAAGCATTCAAATTACAGAGATTTTTCCCATTTCCTAGCACATTTCCCTAGTGAGTAGGAGCTCTGGGTAGCCACAGCACCGCTGGTTTTCTCAGCAATTGACTGCTTCACTTACATACCCACATTACTTGTATATTTTCTAACCATACTCTTTCATTATTTCACAGCAGACTCTTAGCTAAATAGTTGAAATACCACAAGGTATTTATCATCAAAGAGGCAGAAAATAATACAAATAGAGCATAAGGAAACACTTATTTTCCTGGGGGGATGTAAAATTCAACCCCTCGATTTTACAGAAGAAAACAGATTTTAAGTGACTTTCTGAGATAAAATAAGCAGTAGTCAGAATTTAAATCCAGCCTGACCGACCCCAGTCCAGTAATCTTTCCACTATAGTAATCACTTCTCAGCAATTACAATCACACTTATTAAAGGCCTAATAAATGCAAGTCAATCTACTCTATACAGTTTTTAAAAAAAGAAGGTTGGCTTGCTAGGGTCTAGAAATGATATGCATACTTCTCAGGATGAAAGAATTCTTAGAATTCAGCCAGCTCTTTGAGTTACAAAAGTAAAATGAGATGAATGTAAAAATGAACCAATAAAACCATCCAACTCTATCTTCGGGAAGGGACACTGGCAAATGTTTTTAATTCCTTACTCTGAAGAACTTCTACATGATTAGATAATGGGAGATAATTTGTTGCATAGTGGATAAAATGCTGGACTTGTAATCATGAAGACCTGGGCTCAAAGTTCACAATCGATATTTACTATAAGACCATGGACAGCTCAATTGCCTTTTCTAATGTTGCATTTCCTCTGTAAATTGCCATTAATAATACCTGTAATATATGCAGAACTGTTATGGGTTTCAAGTGATGTATTTTATAAAAAGTACTTCACAAACTTTAAAAGACCATGAATGTAATTTTATTATTAATTATTAACATTAATTTGTTAATATTGCTTTAAATTTGTAAAGATCAGACTGATTTTGGATAACATTATTCCAAAAGTAAAGTGTGAAGGTATGCTATCTTGAGAGCACAGCAAGTTATCACTGCTGACTGCTCCTAACAGAGCTGTTCAGAGATGCCCTTATTGAATCTATAGAAGATGAGCGTGCATTCCAACACTTTTATTCAATTAAAAAAAACTATTTTTTTTAACTACTTGGTCAGCTAGGTGGATCATTGTAGATGGATTCAGGAATATCTGAATTCAAGTCCAGCCTTAGATAGTGACCCATGACATAACACTGGGCAGCTCACTCAAACTATGTGCCTCAGATAATAATAGTGCCCACCTCCCAGGATTACTCAGAGTATCAAATGAGAAAATAATTATTTGTCACTTAGCATAGTGTCTCGCACATAGTAGATGCTTAACCAATGCTTATTTTCTTATTTTCCTTCTTTACTGTTACAAAATAACAGTAGCAGGGAAGTGACTTACCCCTCTACTGTTTCTAGTCAAACTCCATCAAACAGCAGGTTGACAAGGAAGAGATGATGATGGTGGTGGTGGTAATGATGATGACGATGATGGTGATGATGATGATGATGATGATGATAACATAACTTACACTTGCATGGCATTTGTATCTTTTTCTCATTTGATTCCTCTAAAAGTTTTTAAGACAGAGCTGAACAAATTGTACTGCATAATTGTGATGGAATATTACTGTACTATAAGAAATGATGAGCTCAATGATCTTAGAAAAACATGGAAAGATTTACATGAAATAATGAGAAGCAAAATGATTAGAACCAAGAGAACATTGTATACAGTAACAGCAACAGTTTAAAGAACAATTTTGCACAAGTAAGTTATTTTGACTATTATAAATACCCAAATTAACTATAAAGGACACATGAAGCAGGGTGCTATCTGCATCTGAACAAAGAGATGATAAATAAAAGTATGTATAGAATAATTTTACACTTACACGCATTTGTATCTAATAGTGGCCATCTCTAAGGTGGAGTAGGGGGAGGGAAGAAGAAAAAGGGAAAAACAAAAGTAATTTACATATAAACTTTGTTGTATATTTAAAAGGAATAGCAAGTTGTGCATAGTAGATTTGCAGTTTCATGTGCAATCATCTTTTTTTATTGTTCTATATTATGAAAATGCTTGTTTTAGTCCATAAATAAAAAAATAAAATAAATTTTAAAAAGAAAGTCTTTAAGACAGATGTTTTGCAAATAAGGAAACTAAGTTATAGATGAGTTAAATTACTTGTTGAAAATTCCACAGCTAGTAAGTGAAAGACATGAGCTCAGTTTTCTGACTACTTGTCTTCTATCCACTCAGGTGATACAAAGCATGTGATACTTATTCTTCATATTCAATATCTCTCTGTCTCTGAAGCACTTGCTTCCTTCTTTACCCTCAGTGGTGTCACTCTCTTCCTTGCATAGCAGCATGAAGTCTTGCTTTTCTCTAAGTATAGGAGTCCGTAAAAGAAAATCAGCTCAAATCCCATGGAGAAGCCAATGAGGTGATAATAATGGAGAAAATCCTTGGTTGGACTATGTGCCCTGATTTTTGGCCATATCAGAGCAAATCAATAGGCCACAAGGGTTGAACATTTCACATCTCTCTCATTGGGGAGCCTCTACCATTGGCAAGAAAAATACAAAACTAATGAATAAGTTTTGTGTTTCAAATAAAGATCAAAAGCTTTGGCAGTTACAAAAAAAGTATACCTTTGGATTGCAAATCAAGACAATCTGATTAGAAAGTCTTTGAAGAAAGGTCAGTGGGAAACCACAAGGTTCCATTTTTATAATCCCTTTCCTTCCTCCAAACATACATTGACTGGAGGAGTAACATTGTTGTGTTTTCAAAATTTCATTCCTATCCTTCCTGGATCAATATCTCCATGGAATGCTAGCTATGATTTCTCTGAATCCTTTGAATCAGATTTCCCGAAATCGAGTGTATTTCAGATTGAGATTGACTTTCCTTTTCTTATTTTTTTTTGTCACAAATAATAAAATGGGGAAGTTCCTTTGACCTGAGGTCCAAATGATTCTCATTCTGGCAACTAGTTCCTGACTGTTGGCAAGGCAAGAATCAGGTCTAAAATAAGAGGGAAGGGAAGGAAAGGGACTATGCATTCATATAGCATCTACTACATGTAGCAGACTCTGTGCTAAGTGCTTTACAAACATATTACATGTAATACTTACAATAATCCTGCAAGGTAGGTGTTGTTATTATCCTCTTTTAATAGCTGAAGAAACTGAGAAGAACAGAGGTGAAGTGACTTGCCAGAGTTCATAAGTGTCTGAGGTGAGATTTGAACTCAGATGTTCCTGACCCAAGTCAGATGAATCTAGTCTGGTGGTCACAGGATAAAGGATCTAGAGTGAGAAGGGACCTTAGAAGCCACATACTCCAAGCTCCTCATTTAACAGATAAGGAAACCGAAGCCCATAGAGGTAAATAGATTGACCAAGGTCACTCAGAAAGTGGCAGAGTTGAGATTCAAATGGAGATCCCTTGACTCCAAATCTTGTGCCATTCTAGTATACCAACAGAAAAGGATTTTGATGATAAATTTAAAGATTTTAGAAGATAGTTTTTTCTCCCATGAATGAGCATATTCAGAAGACCAAGTGATATCATTCAATGGTAGAAAGATGTTATTTAGTGTTCTCTATTGCTTGAATAATAATCATTAATAATAATAGTAACAGCAGATAGCATTTCTATAATGCCTTAAGATTTGCAGAGAGCTTTACAAATGTCACTTCATTTGATTCTTACATACACTCTGGCAGATAAGTGCTCTTGTCATCTCACTTTTTATTGATGAGGAAACCAAGGCAGATAGAGGCTAAGTGACTTGCCCAGGGTCACACAGCTAGTCTCTGAGGCCAAATTTGAACTCAGGACTTCCTTACTCCAGGTTCATCACTCATTCAGCACATCACATAGCTGCCAGTGATCTGATGATAAAAAATGAAAGGATAACAGCCCCTGTCCTAAGGAACCTTAATTCTGACTAGGGAGACAACATGCATATATGTAGTTACATACAAGACATATGAAGCAAATGCAAAGTAACTTTGGAGGGGAAAGCAATAGTGGTTGGGAGTGGGGGGGGTGGTGGGAACAAGACCCAGAAAGGCTCCTCTAGTAGTCTGAACTTTAGCTGAGTCTTTAAACTGAGGTTTCCAAGGGGACAAAGATAAAGAAAGAACATTCTTGGCATGGGGATAGTCAGAGGAAAGCTACAGAGACAGAAGATCCAGCATGGTATGTGACAAACTTCAAGTAGGTCAGTGTGACTGGATTGTAAGGGGCATGGATGGAGGGGGAAGTAGAATGTAGAAGTAGGAAGGGCACATGTTTTGGAAAACTGCTTCAAATAGAGGAGTTTATATTTAATACTAGCAGTAATAGGTAGCCACTGTAGTTTATCGAGTAGAAAGGTCATATGAACAGAGCCATGCTTTAGAAGAGTCACATAAAATGCTCTAAATCATTATTGATTAGAGAAATGCACATTAAAACAACTTTGGGATATTATTTTGCACCTATCAGATTGGCTAAAATGATTGAAGGGAAAAGTGACAAATGTTGGAGTGAATGTGGAAAAATTGGGACACTAATTCATTGTTGGTGGAATTGTGAAATAATCCAAGCATTTTGGACAGCAATCTGGAATTATGTCCAGAAACTTATTAAACTGCCTATATCATTTGACCCCATAATACCACTACTACATCCATTTCCAAAGATGATTATGGAAAAAGGAAAAGAACCTTTATGTTCTGAAATATTTATGTCAACTGTCTTTGTGGTGGCAAAGAACTGGAAATTGTAGGAATGTCTGTTAACTGGGGAATGACCAAACA